GGTGTTAAATGTTTAACAGGTAAAAACACAATGAGATTATGAACTTTTAAAATAACAATCTTCCCCTGGAATCACACTCAGCCTTCAAATGCACTCTCCTGATCAATGCACAGTTCATAAACAGAGGTGCGCGGTGTGTGATAATTACCAACAACATACCTAGATATTATTTTGATAATTAGCACATTTCTGATGACAGGGAAATAGAAACAATTGCTGGAAATGTCAATACTGTCCGCGGTCTCTATCCACAGGTCCTGTCTGAGTGATTGGTTTGGTGGAGGGTGCTATTGTGTGACCCATAAATATTGTAAACGTTTCTAATCCTTCTTAATGCAACTGGCCCCTGACTGGCGCTTAAACACTTCATCCAACCGGAAGCGGTTCTGTGATGTTCGGGACTGTGTTTACACATAGAAACCAGCTTCCAGTTCCTTTACACTCTAATTCTAGTGGACGGTGAGACTGTGGACAAATCCGGGAGCATTTTAAGTGAGAAAGGGGCGTCCAGTAATGGACTGGAGTGAGTTTGTAGACCCCCACAAATGTAATTTACTCAACACAGAATGCAATGAGATAGTAGGAACTGCCAATGCTGGAGTCTGAGATAACAAGGCGTGGAGCTGGAGGAACACGGGCCAGGCAGCATCAGAGGAGCAGGAAAGCTGACGTGAGATAGTAGGAACTGCAGATGCTGGAGAATCCGAGACAACAAGGTGCAGAGCTGGATGAACACAGCAGGCCAAGCAGCATCATAGGAGCAGAGAGGCTGACGTTTCGGGCCTAGACCCTTCATCAGAAAAGGGGAAGGGGGTTCTGAAATAAATAGGGAGAGAGTGGGAGGCGGATAGAAGATGGATAGAGGAGAGGATAGGTGGAGAGGAAACAAACAGGTCGAAGAGGCGGGGATGGAGCCAGTAAAGGTGAGTGTAGGTGGGGAGTTAGGAAGGGTATAGGTCAGTCCAGGGAGGACGGACAGGTCAAGGGGGCGGGATGAGGTTAGTCGGTAGATGGGGGTGCGGCTTGAGGTGGGAGGAGGGGATAGGTGGGAGGAAGAACAGGTTAGGGAGGCAGGGACGAGCTGGACTGGTTTTGGGATGCGGTAGGGAGAGGGGAGATTTTGAAGCTTGTGAAATCCACATTGATACCATTGGGCTGCAGGGTTCCCAAGCGGAATATGAGTTGCTGTTCCTGCAACCTTCGGGTGGCATCGTTGTGGCACTGTAGGAGGCCCAGGATGGACATGTCGTCTGAGGAATGGGAGGGGGAGTTGAAATGGTTTGCGACTGGGAGGTGCAGTTGTTTATTGCGAACTGAGCGTAGGTGTTCTGCAAAGCGGTCCCGGAGCCTCCGCTTGGTTTCCCCGATGTAGAGGGAGCCACACCGGGTACAGCGGATGCAGTATACCACATTGGCAGATGTGCAGGTGAACATCTGCTTGATATGGAAAGTCTTCTTGGGGCCTGGGATGGGGGTGAGGGAGGAGGTATGGGGGCAGGTGTAGCACTTCCTGCGGTTGCAGGGAAAAGTGCCGGGTGTGGTGGAGCTGGAGGGGAGTGTGGAGCGGACAAGGGAGTCACGGAGAGAGTGGTCCCTCCGGAAAGCAGATAAAGGTGGGGAGGGAAAGATGTCTTTGGTGGTGGGGTCGGATTGCAGATGGCGGAAGTGTCGGAGGATGATGCGTTGGATCCGGAGGTTGGTGGAGTGGTACGTGAGGACGAGGCGGATTCTTTTTTGGTTCTTATTGCGTGGACGGGGTGTGAGGGATGAGTTGCGGGAGATGTGGGAGACACGGTTGAGGGCGTTCTGGACCACTGAGGGGGGGAAGTTACGGTCCTTGAAAGCTGACGTTTCGGGTCGGGGCCCTTCTTCAGAAATGGGGGAGGGGAAGGGGGCTCTGAAATAAATAAGGGGGCGGGGTGGGGGAGCAGTGATAGCGGATATGTGGGCAATGTCCGGGGCCCTTCTGGCGTAGTGGTACTGTCCCTACTTCTGAGCCAGGAGATCCGCGTTCAAGGTGCGGAATGACATCCCCCAGCAGGTTGGTTTGAAAATATCTAGAATGTAATGCTCATTTTCACTGACGCCCCTGCCTGCAACATTTTCCTCTGTTGTGACATGAAACGAGCATGTTTCAGAGGGTCCAGCGAGAGGGGCTGAACAACGCTGGGAAGGATTGACAGACTGACTTTAACCATTTTTAATACAACTTTGTACTAGAACAATTCAGAGTTGAAACTTTGTCCCTGCAGAAGGAGAATTTGCTGAATCCTTTAATTTCCCGTTCGCGCTGGTTTATTTCTAAAATTTTGGAGCTGGAAGTGTAAAGGTGCGGGTTTAAGAACCCCATGGTGAGGTCTGAGACGGGACTAGTGCTGAGGGCCTGCAGGATTTGAAAGGCCAGCCCTTTCCAGGTTACGAACTGATTTCGGTTGATCTGACTGAGAATCAATGGAGGCATTAAAATCCTTTTAGGAACAGCGTTAAACTCAAACGTTGTAAACTCAGACCTGACACAGAAACACACACGCACACACAGAGCAAAAGCCACACACAGTCTGCAAATCCGACACACACGCACACACAGACAGCCACACACAGCAGAAATCACAAACAGGCCCACAATACACGGAATGTAAAAGCACAGAAGAATCATCGTGTCAGCACCAGCTCCCTCCTTGAGAGACACAGGACAAGTCATACTGGCAAAATGCGTACTCTCCTACAAATACACACACAAAAATTGAGGTCATTCCTTTCACACACAAATATCTAAGAGACATAAGTAGACGGATCTGGGTGACTGAGGTTTGCCCAGTCCCTGGACATGTTCTGCGATTGAATTCATACTGCAAGAGACCCTTCGAGTCTGCGCCGACCAATCTACACTAATCCCATTTTCCAGCACTTGGCCTATAACCTTGAATGTTATGATATTTCAAGTGCTCATCCACGTCATTTTTAAAGGCTGTGAGGTTTCCCGTCCCTACTGCTCCCCACCCCCGGGCCATGCACTTCAGATTCCCACCACCCTCTGGGTGAACTTTTCTCACATCCCCTCTGAACCTCCTGCACTTCACGTTAGAATTAAGCCTCCTCGCTCTTGACCCTTCAACTCAGGGGAACAGCTGCTTCCTATCCACCTTCTCCATGGCCTCATAACATTATACCTCAAAATGAGGGGAGGGGGCAAGGTTTGATTTTAATGACAGTCTCAAATATTAGTATTGACTATCAGTCAGAATGCACTCACATCTCCACACACGCAGAGATTTGAAAGTCCGCTTGCTGTGATCTGCCTGTACCGCTCGTAAACAAAACTTTTCACTGAATTTCGGTACACGTCACAATAAAATCAATCAATCAATTACAAATAAAAGACGGGATACAATCGGAGAGTTTGGTAGAGACTGATCTCCTGTCATACATACACCCTTTATACACCCAGTGTCAGTTGTAACAGAGCCCCTCCCCCGCCCGCCACTTCTTGGTTAGGAAGCTATGGACTCAAGCCCCACTCCAGAGAATTGAGCAGCCAATCCAGGCTGACATTCCCTGCGCAGTAGAGGGAGTGCTGCACTGTCAAATTTGTAATCTTTTGGACAAGATAGTAAAACCATCAGCTTCTCTGTAAAAGTAAGTAATTCCATCTCTGCTTTAAAAAGCAGAGTTGTCCCCAGTGTTTTGACCAATATTTATCCCTTGACCAATGTCACTCTGGTCAATATTTCAATGTGATTTGTGGGAGCTTCCTGTGCGCAAATCAGCTGACCTTCTTCCTACATCGCAACAGTGCCTATCGCTGAAAAAAAATGTTGTCGAAAGTCCTCATTTTGCACTCATCAGGACATCTGGAAAAGATACAAATTTAAGGCAAAGCCCAACATTTGTGTAGCGCGACAGGAGAGTGCTGATTGCGTTGGCAAGTGACTACCAGTCATTATATGTAAGGTAAGATCGTGCATTTGTGAAAATGTTTCTTTTTCTCTTTGTAAGTCTATCTGCCCCTACAGACATGTGCAGTCCTCCGATCCACATCGCGGTTCTCAACAACTTTCACAACTGGCGCAGACACCTGCAACTCTCACAAACGTTTTGGTGCTGTGATCGAATGCTCGCTTTGTAGTACACAAAACCGGCCTCGTGTTTTTGGTCTGTTTTTTTTTGCCTTCAAGCATGGGGCAGACTTGAAAGTCATTCAAACAAAATAAAAGTATTTTAGAAAGGGAATTTTAAAAGTTGTCCCATGGGTGGCGCTGTCCATGGGGGAGGCCGTGGTGAAGACAGTCATTATGACTTAGCCGTGAGGCTGGATACACCCAGTGAGATAAGTTCACTTATATAGCTGCTAGTTACACAAAACTTAGCAGCAAGCGCAGGCCACTCGGCCCTTCGAACCTACCCCGCCATTCACCAATGTCATGGCTGATCCGATGATGTGGAGGTGCCGGTGTTGGACTGGGGTGGACAAGGTCAGAAGTCACACGACACCAGGTTATAGTCCAACAGGTTTAGTTGAAAACACAAGCTTTCGGAGCATCAGTCCTTCTGAGGCTCCGAAAGCTTGTGTTTTCAAATAAACCTGTTGGACTATAACCTGGTGTCGTGTGATTTCTGACCATAGCTGATCCGAATATTCCACATTCCAGCCTATCCCTGGCTACCTTTCATCTCCTCGCTGCCCCTGTGTGGGATAACACTCCTTATTTACTCTGCCTGGAGAATCACACGTGGATTGTGGTGTGCACTGTCCTGTGCATGTTGGATTGTCTGTTGCATTAGGGACATTCGGTCCGACCCTGAACTTTTTGGTACCAGACCCAAGCGGAGATCTCAAACGCCATCATGCGGGAACAGGTGAATAGTTCATTTCACTGTTCGCACTATTAAATTATCAGCGTCAGGTTGTGTAATTGTAACATGTACTTAATAATTATCCTAAGGGTCAAGCTTTAGAGTAACATATGGAGGCTGGGACATAAATCTAACCAGATACCGAATACTGCGTAGTGTGCGTTTATTAAATATCGTTTAGACACCACAAACACACAGCAATGAACTACAAGAAGTTCATTAGCTCAAGTCAGATTCCCATCCATTTCTCGTTCAGTTAGAAGTTTTTGTACTTTGACATGGAATTTACAGCAGCAAACCATTCGGCCAAAACTAGTACATGCTGATCGGCCCAAACATGATATTCCATAATCCTCCCACGTCCCTTCACCTAATCCCATCTGCATACCCTTCTCGTCCTTTCTCTCGCCTGCATAGATCTCGCGTTCCCATAAATGGATCGGACGCTTGTATGAAGACAGGTGACAGGTCTTCCTAACACCAGGAATCTGTATCACTGGACTGAGGTGACGCTGTCATTGGTGGCCGGATTATGATGCCGTTTTTCAGTCTGTGACCAACAGTGACGTCCGGAGCAACCCCGTAACAAACAAAAAGTCTCATCCCATGTTTGGTGTTTATGGAATTCGACGTTACCTTGAGAGCACAACAGAAAATATTTATATGAGTTTAATGTTGATTTGATTACTAGAGAATGTAAGTTCTTATTGAAATGCAGTTTCCTACGTTACACAATCATGACACTTGAGAAAGACTTCATTAACTGTAAGGCTCCTTGAAGTAGCTGGAGATAGTGAAAGGCGCTATGGCAATGCAAGTTTTTTTAAAGATTTTGTTTGAAACGTAGTGTTCCTCGGTATGTACCCTTAGGTACGGATAGATGGATAGATGTTTCAATTTAGGCGCAGAGTATTTTATCTTTAACTAACTGTAAAGGCCGTTACTAAGAGTCTGTGCAATAGTCACATTTATGAGTTGTTAAGCCACAAAAATGCAGTTAAAATATCATTGGATGCAGTAATGCCCCCTCCCGCCTTCAAGTTTATGTACGAGTTGCAGGCAGTTATTAAACTACATATTGCATTCTCTGATACCCAGAGTCCCGCTTACAGCTCTGCAGTTCCCGCAGACAGTATGGCGTCTGAGAGATTCATTTTTCTCCAAAATACTCGGATTCCCGTTTTAATTTCGGAACAATAAGCGTTGCGGTTACTTCAGAAAGAAAGAAGAAAGAAGTATCGTGTTTGAAGCGGGTGGAGGGCGCTGTAGCGAAAAGTTAGTCTCCTGCAATCAGCTGGCTTTACATAAGTACCGGCTTCTGTCAGCTAAGTAACTTTGTAGTCGGTGTTCGCGCTTTGCGGGAGGCGTACAGAGAACGCAACCTATCTGGTACGTGGCTGAAGACCGTTGGACCTCGAAATTTACTCATTTGATGTGTTCTGTGCTAAAAGTGCCTGTTTGAGTTAATGTGTATGTTTGAGTGAGTGTGTTTGAGTGAGTGTGCGTTTGAGTGCGTGTAAGTTTGGGTGAGTGTGTGTTAATGCATGTTTACGTGAGTGTGTGTATGTTTATGTTTGTGTGTGTATATTAGAGTGAGTGAATGTTTGTGTGTGTTGGAGTGCAGTGTGTTTATATTAGAGTGAGTATGTGAGTGGATCTTTGAGCTTTTGCATGTTTGAGTGTGTGAGTGAATGTTTGTGTGCTTGAGTGTGTGTGAATCTTTGTGTATGTTTGAGTGTGTGTGTGAAACTTTGAGTGTGTATGTTTGAGTGTGTGTGAGTGAAACTTTGAGTGTGTATGTTTGAGTGTGAGTGA